ACAGTGTGGGAAAATCTTTTCTCGATCAGGTGCCCTACAAAACCACCAACGTGTTCACACTGGAGAGAAACCGTACTGGTGTGAACAGTGTGGGAAAACTTTCACTACATCAAGTCATCTAAAAATCCACCAACGTCTTCACACTGGAGAGAAACCGTACAGCTGTGACCAGTGTGGGAAAGCTTTCACTATATCAAGTGACCTGAAAACACACCAACGTGTTCACACTGGAGAGAAACCGTACAGCTGCGAACAATGTGGAAACACTTTCGCTCAATCAGGTACCCTAAAAAAGCACCAACGTGTTCACAACAGGAGAACGCTGACACAAGGCATCAGTGTGACAGTTTTCACAGAGCCAAGCTAGCCGTTTCCTCCTGCCTTTCCTCTTTCCTCATGTGACTGTGCTTGACTAACGTCATGTGATGACAGCTGAGGAAGTTTGATTTGGAAAGAGCTGGAAAGTGTCAGTCCAGAGGGTTTATAAATTCAATTCAATTTTAAGAGTACAATAGATTAATGTTTCATAAGGCAATGAGTAATCCTGTTAAATAATTGTGATCTCAATATTGACCAAAATAATTAGCAGCCCTACATGAACATTTAATTTAATTCATGAAATTATAGAACATTTGTTGTGTGAAACTGCTCCTCTGCCTTCTTTTTGTACAGGCTAATGCTTCATTCACTAAATTTTTTTTTTTTTTTTTTTTAACTTGATAAAACTTTAGAATTTTTTTTTTATTTGGTGAAGAGCGCATTATGACTTGTTAGGACTCGAAACTCAAAGTTTAAGACTTGGACTTAGTTGGAGACTAACTACCATGCAGCCAAAGCATTTTAATGCACAAAGTTAATAAATAAAAAAACAACCCCAAAATGAAACTGCAGTAACTGGAATTAATATTATAATAGTGGTAATCTGTATACTATTATAATAAATATAGTAACATCATATAAATAATATATTATTATCAAACTAACAGTTTATGATTATATTAACAATATACCTTTAATATAATGTTATAATATTATACTAATAAACTCATTTATACTAGCTCCTCTTCCAGGTTGTGGGTCGAGCCTCTGCAGTGGACAGATGTAGATATAGCCGGATGCCATCGTGCCAGTATGTGCTCCTTCTAGCCGCCTCCTGAGAGCAACATGTTCTCCTTGTTCTATTATACATCTGTTTTACTGAAGTTATTCTTATAAAAATGGACACAAATAAGCTTTAGGATGCCGACAGCATCCTTATAATTTCCACTTAGTGTACCAGTGTTTTGATATGACCTTCTGTGAGTTTGTTTTGTGTCATGCTTTAATGTAAGAAAGGAGTTTCCACTGTGGCTCAAGGCTGAGAAAGGCTTTTCTGTTAGACTGTTTCTCTGGGTCAGACTCTCTAACAGCCCTCTGGTGTATGAGCTCTGCCCTTCAGCTGAATCACCCTGTTATTCTTACTTTAATAAATATCACAAAGACACCTGTTTGTTGTAACTTCTTTATTTCTTCAGAAGGAAATATACCAAACCTCCAGTCAAACGTACTGTGACATGTTCACCATCATCCCGTCAGGTCTGTGAGGGCACCGGATTGAAAATAAATCTATAAAATTTTATAAATTACTCTCAAGATTTGTACCACAACCTGGGGCTGCATTAAGCTGCAGCATCAATGAGCATCTGTCTGCAAGAAAAAACTGGCAGAGGAGGGATTGGATGATGGTTTCCATGATGTCATCACCGCTGTCACCACAGACCGTCACTTCTGAGCTGATCAGAAATCAAAGAGAGAAAAGTTGTGTTTTCAAAGGAGCATGATGAAAGTGAAACGTCCTGTTTTGATCCTGCAGTCACAAACATCTGTGCAGCAGCACCAAAACAAGCGGTGGAATCTGATTTACAAAGGTGGAAAACCTCTTTATCGTCTTCTCACTCTCACATTCCTTATTAAATATCATGTTTTCTAATGAACTGCATCACTTGTGGAAAACAAAAGCCCACTCTTTGGCCTCTGAGTCTGTTTGGGGTCAAAAGAAACCTCCAGACTTTCACTCTCAGTCCTTCAGAGTCTAACAGCTTCCAGAGGTTTTGTTGAAGAGTCAGACTGTGTTTGAGCGCCACCTGCTGCTCATTAAGCAGACAGACCAATAAAGATGAAGAATAAAGAGAACAGAGTGCTGCTGTTCCTCCATCTTCTGCTCTTTCCTTCATTGTTTTACTCTCTCTGGATGCTGCTGTGCTCGACAGGAAATCACTGACGTTTAGTGGCTGAACGAGCAGCTTTGATTTGTTATTGAACTTTCTAATGTGTCTGTTAGCTCACATGTCTTTGACCTTTACACCTCAGCTCATGTCAGCGTTGATGTTTCCTCCCTTACTGTAACGTACAGAAGCTGATGTGCTTCCTGCAGTAGTTTGGCTTGTATCTGCTGTAAGCTGCAGTTAATAATTAGATCTGTTATTTCTGGCTCTATTATTACTGAGGGATTCTCTGTTGTTTGACTCTTATGGCCCAAAAAAGGTAAGAATTACCAAAATAAAAGCTCCTGTGGTGAGTCAACATTTTTAAGGTACTGAAATACCTTTTAAACCAAAACTCAGATCAACATATGACACTAAATTAGTTTATATCTCATCATTATGATTCAGTGAGTGTTGATCTTTTAACATTTAAGATGTTAATTGTATGAAGTTTCTGTTATTTTAATGACTCATTAATGTAAAAGCAGGATTTTACTGCTGTAGTTGTTGAGCTGGAGCTCATTTTGTCAGACTGTAACTGATGATTGTCTTAGAGATTTTCAGTAGTAGAGTCTGGTGTGGAGGATTTATATCGTGTACAAGAAAAGTTATAATAATTATATAAACTGTTGGGAGTTTAACTAATAAAAAAATATTTTAAACACAAAATTTGAATGTTTCTTTTATGTTTGTGTGTAAAAGTCCTATTTTGTAAAATAACTAAAGCTGTCAGATAAATGTAGTGAAGTAAAAGTTCATTATTTCCCTCTGAGATGTGGAGTAGAAGTAGAAAGTAAAGTACAAGTACCTGAGTGCTGTACTTGAGTACAGCAGTGTAGTAAATATAGCTGTTGTGTTAATGTGAATGTTTTCTGAGCTCTCCAGTTTGTTCTGAGGGCCAAACAGACTGACAGTGACAGGAAGCAGCCAGCAGGAGGCAGCAGAGGAGCTTCAGTTTGTTCAACAGATGATAGTTTTAACACTGAGTGAGATATTCAAACTAGATCCTACATGCAAATGTTGTTTGTAAGGTTTTTAAATCATTTTGAAAGGATGTCGTTTACAAGATGTTGAAACAAGAGAAGGACACTTTTTATCTTTCAACTAAAACCAAACGTATCTTACACGACTGGCAAGAAGTTTTTTTCACGTCTTTTCTGTTACATTTTGCTGGACGGGTTTATTATTGTACTGTTTGCAGCAAATCTACCTAATATATATTCAGCAGGTCTCAGATGAAGCTCTTCCTTCATGGTTGTGATGATGTTGTTGGAACTAACAACTCGTCCTGTTTCACATTGGAGCTGGAAGTAAAACCCAGAGTTAACACAATCTGTCCATAAACAGCTTCAGTATCCTGGTTATCCAGGACAGTCTTGTTAGACTCATTGAGACCAGATCACCCAGAGAGACTCTGTTAAACCAGCTTCAGGATTAAGGCCCCAGATGGGAAGGAGCAATAAAGATTTATTGCATTAAGACATTTCTGATTTGGATTCCAAACACATGGAATTATTTCCATTTGCTGAATCATCATGAAGACGTTCAGAGCCTCTGCTGCTGCTGCTGCTCCCTTTTACACTCCTGGAGGAATATTAATATTAGAATTTCCACTTTTACTGTCCATCAGATCGGCCGACCAATCAAAAAGCAGCCTGTTTCTGCCCCGTAACAGACGTCCTCATAGGATCCAGCTGGGGCTCCTCTCTGCTCTACCTGTGAAAGTGAGGGGAACATCCTGGATGATGGAGGAGCTCAGTGGATCTCTGGGTCACCGGCTGGAGGACGGAGGAAGCAGAATGACCCAGAGACAACATGCTGCCTGTGAGGACGTCCCAGCAGAGACATGGAGGGGAGGGTTACACCATCACTACACATCTGTGTGTGTGTGTTGAAGAACAAACATCACATGACGCAGCAGTCTTTCTACAACACTTCCTCACTGACATCAGCTTGTTGTGTGGAGACATGTGTCTGTCCAGCTTCCTGTTGTGTGTTTGACTCTACTGTTAGCGGAAGGTGCTGACTGTGATCAGAGCTACAAGCCATTGTTATGTTAGAAATGCATTACAATGTTTGACTGGGGGCTCATTCACTCACCAGCATAAGCTTTGTACAGTGGGCACTTCACATCACTGGTTTACACACTGCCATATCATTTTTATCCTCTCGTGCAATTCCCTGTAATGTGCATTTATTTATGAAGTGAGCAACACATCAACATGTTGTTATATTTCTAATTTCTTCTGTATTAACGGAGACTAAAGAGGTTTGCAGGCTACATTCACAACACACAGTTTTCCTTCAGTGGCTTTGTGTTTGCATCTGTTTGGGCTGCTCATTAATGCAGCTGAATAGCCAGCTGATGTCCACATGTTCAGCTCTCTGCCTCCTATTCAAGCTGATCACCTGAAGAGAGGTGAAAATGTGCGTCAGTCGCCTTTTCAAGCAGCTGATACCCATTTGAATAGAGAACCACTTTAGAAACTCTGTGAAACGCTGTCTACGACAAATTCTTAATGATTCTGCCTTCTTGTAAATTCAACCTTGAATGTGACATGAAGTTATTTCTTTCTTTGTGTAAAAACATGATGTATAAAAAGCTTCAGCAGGATATTTTTCATGATCCTGTGATAATAACAAGCGCTTCATTAAAACTCTGCTCTGTGTGAAGCACACTCCTTCATACACATCAAATATGATCAGCTGGTTTCAGGAAACCAACTAACTAAACTTCATCTTCTGCCTGAAATCAAGGAGCCATGTTTCTAAACGGCCTTAGCGACAGTAACTAAGGGGCGGGGCGAGACGCCGTGACATCGCGAGAACACTCCGCGGGATCCCGCAGCGCTCCTGTATCTCAGCCTGAAGAGCTCCGAGACCAGAATCCAGACTCAGTCCAGGACAACACGGTCCACCAGTCACAGCGGAGACCTGCAGGACGATGGAGAACCAGAACCCGGACCACAGGAGCCAAACAGCAGCCTCGTGCTCTGATAGCGCCGATGTTCAGGTCAGTGTTCATGACTTCATCACGAGACTAAAGACACGAGGAAGAGTCTCGAGGGTCCGTGTATCATCCGTTCATTCTGTTGTTAGAGATCAGAGCCTGAAAACCCGCTCCAGGGTTTGTGTTGACGTGGTTTGATTTCCAAAGTGTCTCCGTGGTTCCTGTTTTCATCTTGAAGAGAGGAAGCTGAAAGAAAAACTCACGAGCGTTTCTCTTTTCTTTGTGCTGTGACTGTCGGCATTTTCCCGCGTTGCGCATGCGCGTGCAGCGCGTGTCATGGCTGAGCGCGCATAACAAACAATGATCCTTCTGATTGATCTGTGAGGAGGATTTCTTGTTAACCTTCACTGCTGCTTGTTTTGGGTTAGACTGCTTGAATCTCTGTCATGAAATCACAATTTGTTTTGGTCTAAACTTTATTAGCTCATCTGTTAATAACTATAAAGGTGGGTTTTGATAAGTGCTTTGAAAGAGTCCATGTCGCTGCAATCTAGGATGTGTATGGGTAAGGAGTTTCATAGGGAGCGGGCTGCAATGGTGAAAGCTCTGTCGTTCAAGACAAGCTGTTCACGGTTTATTCCTCAGAGAATTAAACACTTTTCCACAGTAATACCAAGAAAGAGGGCGTCAATTTTCTAGATGTGGTTAAAATTGTACAGATGATACTCTGACTTCCCGTTCCCATGAAGGCAGCACGGAGCTCCACCACATGTAGCTGACGGGGGAAAAAAAATACACATCTCATCAGTCACAGTGGACTAAACTGGCAGGTTTTAAAGTTGCAGACCACAGTTCTTCTGCAAGTAGTTTAAAGTTTAAACTCGTAATGTTGTGAATCTTTGGTGTAAACTTCCAGCGACTTTGTTTATGTAATTCTGTTAAACTCTCTGAATTTTATGCATCAAACAATAATGCTTTCTGACTTCCGTCTCACAAACACCTTCATTTCTGTATCAAAGAAACTCTTTCCCCTCTTTGTTGACATGTCAGACCATGTTTTCTTTATTTCAGCCATTATGAGTTTCTGTACCGGCTGCATTGACTTCCATTGTGACACTAATGCCACTCTGTTGTTTTGCATTGAACTTTGACGACACGCTGTCATCTGAAAACTCACAAGATCCACAACATAGAATCATCAATGTGTTAAGGCTGTTCTGGGACTATTTTGAAGCAGGTGAGGCAAATATGTTTGGAGTAGTACATGACAGCGTACAACTTGACACTTCCTGTTGCCAGCAGGTGGCGCTATGACATTGTGTTTTTGTTGGCATATGGATGTGTTCAGGGTTGGACTCTCATCCTACATGTACTGTTTGGTGCAGATATGAGCATGCACACTGAAGTTATAACAACTTCCAGTTTCACGGCAACTCATCGATTTTGGACGCCACACCACGGACACGCCCATTGATGAGAACTCACAGATGGCACAACTTTTCATTGTCAACTTTTCATAGGATTTGAAAATCTTTGAACGATACCCAGCCCTACTCATACTGCAACACTTCTCTTTGTAAAGAGAGAAAATGACAGGATAAAGTCGCTAACCTGCCTGTCAACGCGAGCTGGTCCATTTCATTGGATTTACCATTACCATTATTACCATTCATGTCTTAAATATGTGTGCACTCCAAATTTAGGCGTGGCTAGCTTAACTCACAAACGAGTGACAGAAACCCCCAAAACCCCCCAAGGTCCGAGGTCCACCCACCATAGTCTCTTAATATCCTGTGGGAAACACTGATTGTTTTAACGATTCTTAACCCTTTCTCTACTTTTTTGTGTCATTAAAGTTACTTCTTTTTAGCTGTTCTGTAACATGATTCATTATTATAATATAGCCTTTTATATTTTTTGACACTCTGGATCGGAAATTCACCAATAGGTTTCAAAATCAAACTTACCGTAATTTTTAAAAGTTCTACATGCATAATTTGACACCGTTAAAACTCAAACACACACAATTGTATTGTAAGAGAATAACATAGGGTAACATATCAAACATAAGTATATAGTGTTATAGACTTGGTGTCTACTACAGTGTACATGTCATGATCTCATTCACTGGTTACGTGACCTGCAGCAGGTGTCGATGATTCATCCTTACTACTACATTGTATATTATCAGATCCTTAAGCAAATACTGTGCGACATTACCTAGGGGTTGAGCAAACATTACATCACTTTATCTGGTACTCTAAGCAAACAGTACCTGCATACATTAGCTAGTTTTATTGCATATTCCCAACTTGACATGGTCTCAGTAGCTTCACTTCACATGTAGAGACATTGGAAAATTATTGATTATTTAGCAGCCTATCATCCTTAGGCAAAAAAAAATTACAGAAGTGCTGATAGTGAGTTAGTTAAAATTACCTTATTATCATCGATAGGCGATCCAATTGGCACAAGCCTACTTTGACTCTCTATAGAGTAGCCTTTAGGGATGGTGATCGTAAGGAGCCTGTAAATCACCGGTCTAATTCTCTTGGAGGATGTCGTTAAAGTACGAAGTGTGTAAAATTACCATTAAATCCAAAATCGACTTTCTGATTGGTGTGGGGCATTGCTCCAAGAGGCGTTTTTGTATGTCTGGACCTAATACATAATCCATAGAAATTTTGTACACGTAGGTAAAACTTTTGGCCGGGGGCTGCCATTTTGCCACAGCCATGTGCGAGACCTATAAAATATTAAATTTTCCGCCCCTCCTGAGTTATGTGCAAAGTTTAAACATGTTTAGGCCTCCAAAAATCAGCTCACTTTGCAGAAGAGAAAAAAAATTCCATCAGTTCCAAAAGGGTCCTTGCATGTTTTATGCTCAGGCCCTTATTATAAGAACTGACAACATGCATTTGTTTGCCTTAAGTAGTGACACACATTTTGCTCAGGAAAAACATTTTATTTATGTTTCTTCACTATATTAATCTGAATGATTTTTTTGCACATTTTGCAGAGAAACAACTCTATTATTTCAAGAAAACCCATTCTCACGGTGGCTTATTAATGACGCAGCCTATCAAACAACTTAAACCAACATCTGCACCCTGTGTGTTCACTGCAGCTTTACCTGGTCCGTGCATAAAATATCTTAATGTAAGTTAAGTCTAGTCTGTGAAGTCTGTGCGAAAACACATAGACATAAGACAACTGACCATACTTCTCGGTGTGAATGCACTCAAAATAGTAAGTACAAGTATGGAAGTGCACAAATTGATACACAGAGAGAGAGAGACTTTTATTTAAATGTCCCTTATTTTCAGATCTCAATGATGACAGTTGTGACTCCTCTCTCCTCTCCCTCTCCCTGCTCCTCTCTCTCCCCCCTAAAACCCACAGAACCTGCCAGAGCTTTCCAGAACAAAAAACAGCTACCTCAGAGTTCATCTTCGACTCATGATGCCTGTGCTCCTTTGTCTCCTACATATTTGGGCTACAGCCTTTTGTTGCAGTTTTTATAATTGAAGTAAATTTATGAAGATGCTGTTTATTCTGTTTTTGTAGTTTATTCCAGGGGAAAGCTATAATTGTCAAGCTATAAGATGTTCACAGTAACCAGGCAAAGGCTTCTATGGTTTAAGTCAGAGGGGGTGGAATTTGTTGCCCATGTTTCCTGGCAATAAATTAAACAGTTGTCATTTCATGATGCTTTAATATCTGTTAATTTTAATACTTAATAAATTGTTTTTTTGACTAATTAAATAAATATACAGTATACTGTATAATGCTACATGATAAATAATAGGCTTTAAATAGATTGGTCGATACTGCTTTCAGCAATCTGTGATTGGCCCAAAAAATCCTGATTGGAGCACCTCTATAGTATACTAATTGTTCATTTTGTACGCATTATGCAGTGAATACTGACTGAGTAGTAGGCAGTATGTTGGTATGCAATGTCGAACACAGACATGCTCTAAATGTTGTTTTATGGTTCTAGATAGCTCGCTCCACCATGGCATCTCACTCACTGTCTTTCTTTCTGTATGTCTGTCTGTTGATATAGAAACAAAGAGGAAGACATGGACTCAAATGTCACCGCTGTCAGCACTGTGACAAATCCTTTACAACATCTGGATATTTAAAGATTCATCAGAGACTTCACACTGGAGAGAAACTGTACAGCTGTGACCAGTGTGAGAAAGCTTTCACTACATCTGGTCAACTTAAAATCCACCTACGTGTTCACACTGGAGAAAAAGCGCACAGCTGTGACCAGTGTGAGAAAGCTTTCACTACATCAGGTCAACTGAAAATCCACCTACGTGTTCACACTGGAGAAAAAGCGCACAGCTGTGACCAGTGTGGAAAAGCTTTCACTCAACCAGGTCAACTTAAAATCCACCAACGTGTTCACACTGGAGAGAAACCATACAGCTGTGACCAGTGTGGGAAAGCTTTCAGTACAACAGGCCACCTAAAAAGCCACCAACGTGTTCACACTGGAGAGAAACCATATTGCTGTGACATATGTGGAAAGGCTTTCACTCGATCAGATCACATTAACAAACACAGACGTGTTCACACTGGAGAGAAACCCTACTGGTGTGAACAATGTGGGAAAACTTTCGGTCGGTTTGATAAGTTAGAAAAACACAGACGTCTTCACACTGGAGAAAAGCCGTATTGGTGTGAACAATGTGGGAAAACTTTCCGTGGGGCTGATAAGTTAGAAGTCCACCGCCGTGTTCACACTGGAGAGAAACCGTACTGGTGTGAACAATGTGGGAAAAGTTTTGCTCAATCAGGTAACCTAAAAGCCCACCGACGTGTTCACACTGGAGAGAAACCGTACAGCTGTGACCAATGTGGGAAAGCGTTTAAAGAGCGTCGTACACTTAGAAGCCACAAACTCATTCACACCACATCGTTGTGAATTCTTTTTTAAAGTCAAGTTAGCCGTTTCCTCATGCTTATCCTCCCTGTGTCCCGTGCAAGAGAGTGAAAGACTAGAGTACCACTCAGCATAGTTGCCACAGAGGTTGCGGTGTAGATATTATCTAGATATTTTCTACGTTACATTAGCATGTAGCTGACGCATTTAGCCAAAGCTTATAACTTACGCTTACAACTGCTATATATGTCAGAGGTTGCACGCTTCTGGAGCAACTAGGGGTGTAATGCTATCAGTGTGTAATGCTATGTTAAATACATCATTTTTTAATATTTGACTACACAGATAAAATCAGAAGAAAGGAAACAGATGTTTGTTGTTGTTACTCCGGTTTTACACACAACGCAAATTTTCAATTTCCGTTGCACGAGTTTGACCGCTGGACTACTCGCACAAGTTTTCCACACTCGACAATGCAACAGCATAAATAAACAACCTGCCATTACTACAGCTGTATGAACACAAACTGAACATTTTGCTGTGATGTAGTTGCAACAAATGGATCAAACGGATGACGAAATAATAAAAAATAAATAAAAAATATCATGATGCCCATATGTGTTAAAAAAAAAAAAAAGTAATTATAATGCATTATCAAGATTTTATATTTTATATTGTTAATACAATGACCCTGTGCAAGATAGATATGGGTGAGCAGCCTACACAATATACACACAGAGGTGTCGGCAGTAGGGAAGCATTTTAAATTGTCGGAGAAAGACGCAAATATCGCCATTTGCAGACACTGTTCTGCTGAATTGTCTCCTAGCACATCCACTATCTGTGGCTGACGTCTTAGAAAAGGCAACAAACGATCTGAACCACTTTGAGTGTTTCTGTCACTTGTTTATGACACGCCGATTAAGCTAGCCACACGTATTCAAGCCTTTATGGTAACTGAAATGAACTAGAGCGTTCTTTTTGCACAAAGACGCTAAAAGTGTGTGTGTGAACGTATATATTTCTATTGCATAGCCAAAATTACTAGATAGGCAGGGTGTAACGACTGTGTGGTGTAACGTTAGGCCCAGGGTTTTATAGTGCGAGCATTTCACTCTCATATGCCCCCTAAAAATACATATTTGCGAACCGGAAAACTGATGTACGGGTCACAGTTGCAACTGTACGTAATCTTCCATTTTGTCGGACCGAGCTCTGACCGCTTGAACAGCCCTGTTACTCAAACTAAATTATGATATAAAAAACTGCGCAGCGCATCAACATAGCTCTGTGCAATTAATAAAATTTTGATCTCATTTAAACTGGCACACAGCTTGTCCGAAGCGCGCCTGGCCGCTCCGTGATCTCCTGGCCCTGTCCGCCCCAGCGACCCACTCCCTCTCCGGTACCTACAATGAGTTGTGTAGGAGGCCTACTACCGGCGTGCTATGAACAGTTTGTGATCGTTCCCTCTGGCTGGATGAATTTTTTGCACATAATCCATGGACAACAACTGGGGGCCTGACGCTAAATTCCACGATCTCACGGAGAAAAGAAAGGTGAGGTCGAAACAGTGTAGAGAGACTGCCGCAGCTGTTGTTAAGCTGCTTCCACCAATTATCAAAACAAGTTAATTAAGATAAAACTATAATTGGCGGGGAGCCGTTTCACGACACTTGTTTTGTTTTATAAACCCAGCGCACCCCTTTCCTTTACAGCTGAGCCTCTTGTCCCTCCCTAAAAGGTGTGTTCAGTGTTGCTTTACCTGATCGGTTCTTGTAAAGTATCCACTGTGTTTGCATCTTCTAATGTCATAGCGATTTATAGTTTTCTCACCGTTGGTTTATGTCACTGTATCTCCCGACAAAACACCGCGGTTTTATTTCAGCATTCTGTAACGTAACTTTGTCAACTCAAGTAGTTCACCTGTCACAAGGCGCTATACAAGTACGGAGCATTTAAATTTACCTGCTCTGCTCCCCTCCGTGTACTCACACACACTGAGCCCTCTCAGTGACCCATCCTTCACCCAAACAGGGATGGAAATTAACACCAGCTAAATGCGGGTGGATTTTCCGTTTGGCTGCCAAATGTCTGAATGGTGACCCGCCACATTGGCTGTTAAAAATATCAGTCATATAATTTCTATTTGACGATAATTAGCAGCAGACCAGCGTTCTTGTTATGTCGCACTTAAATTGGTCCCTGATGTTAGATGATATCTAAAATTGTGTAACACACGGATTAGATGCATTCATTGGTTGGTGGCTGGTAAATTTCCACCCCTGCAACTTGGGGGAAACTGATGTCGTCCTCTTGCGCTCTAGATGCTGGTTAAAGTTAACAATGATTATTGTTTCTTATTTCCTGGGTTATTTTGGAGTAATGTACATATATCCTAGTTTTTAAAAAGAAAGTATTACATTTTAAGAGTTCAATAGATTAAGGTTTCATAAGGCAATGAGTAAACCTGTTAAATAATTGTGATCTCAATATTGACCAAAGTAATTAGCAGCCCTACATGAACATTTAATTTGTTGTGTGAAACTGCTCCTCTGCCTTCTTTTTGTAAAGGCTAATGCTTCATTCACTACATTTTTTTTATTCTTAACTTGAAAAAACTTTAGAATTTGTTTTTTAATTTGGTGAAGAGCGTATTATGATTTGTTTAGGACTCAAAACTCAAAGTGTAAGACTTGGACTTGACTTGGGAATTGTTGGTCCTTGACTTAAGACTTGACTCGGACTTGCCAGTCATGATCAGTCTGGACTTGGGACTCAACTCGACTTGACTCTGACTTGTAAAATGATGACTTGGTCCCACCTCTGCAGAAGACAACAGGGAAATTAGAAACAACGTTTGGAATTGGCTAACGTTAGCTGGCTATTTAGCTAACTGTGCCTTTTATTGAAACACTTTCACCTTTTCATAAAGCCGAAGCACTCGTCAGTGTCACTTTTTGTGAACAGATCTATCACAGCCTGAATGGAGCGGGACATAAAGAAGTTTGATGTGCTACAGCAAACTATTCAAATTTTGAACTCAGCGTTCTGCATAAATAGTTATGATTACTGACGAGTTAGTAGCCTACTTGAAATTAAAGTTGGAGACTAACTACCATGCAGCCTAGAGCATTTTAATGCACAAAGTTAATGAATAAAAAACAACCCCAAAATGAAACTGCAGTAACTGGAATTAATATTATAATAGTGGTAAACTGTACACTAAACTAACAGTACAAATTATAGTAAATAAAATTAAAAAGTAAAATTGCATGCAAGCAAACATTATCTAGTTTGAAACAACTAAAACACAAAATCACACATTTCACATGATTTTCAGTAATGTTGCAAACATAAACGTCATAGTCGATTTAAGACAATGGATTTTTGCAGGAAATCCGACCAGTTCTTCACAAAGAAAACAGGCCTATACAGACTGAGAAGGTTGGTGAATGCTTCAGTTTTTAGATTACAACCTGGTCACATATAGGCCATAAAAATTTGATGAGTATATTTAAATTTCACAATTCCTCTTTTACAGGTGCGTTGCTGACTTAACCGGTTACAGCTCAAAGTGGCGTCTGTCTTATAATATGTTGAAAACGTCTTAAAAGGTGTTGAATTTTACTTCAGGATACTTGTGTATATACCCTGTATATGTACTTTTATTAATCCTCTATATGTCATTACCATATGTTCTTTGCTCATCTTATGTGATGTTATGATTTCCACTTAGTGTACCAGTGTTTTGATATAATGACCTTCTGTGAGATTGTTTTGTGTCATGCTTTCCTGTGAGAAAGGAGTTTCCACTGTGGCTCAAGGCTGAGAAAGGCTTTTCTGTTGGACTCCACAATTATTCTCTAGCATTAAATATCTTCTCTGTTTCTCTGGGTCAGACTCTCTAACAGCCCTCTGGTGTATGAGCTCTGCCCTTCCGCTGAATCACTCTGTTATTCTTACTTTAATAAATATCACAAAGACACCTGTTTGTTGTAACTTCTTTATTTCTTCAGAAGGAAATATACCAAACCTCCAGTCAAACGTACTGTGACATGTTCACCATCATCCCGTCAGTTCTGTGAGGGCACCGGATTGAAAATAAATCTATAAATTTTATAAATTACTCTCAAGATTTGTACCACAACCTGGGGCTGCATTAAGCTGCAGCATCAATGAGCATCTGTCTGCAAGAAAAACTGGCAGATGAAGGATTGGATGATGGTTTCCATGATGTCATCACCGCTGTCACCACAGACCGTCACTTCTGAGCTGATCAGAAATCAAAGAGAGAAAAGTTGTGTTTTCAAAGGAGCATGATGAAAGTGAAACGTCCTGTTTTGATCCTGCAGTCACAAACCTTTAACTTCTACTTCAGATTCTGATGTCGTCTGTGCAGCAGCACCAAAACAAGCGGTGGAAGCTGATTTACAAAGGTGGAAAACCTCTTTATCGTCTTCTCACTCTCACATTCCTTATTAAATATCATGTTTTCTAATGAACTGCATCACTTGTGGAAAACAAAAGCCCACTCTTTGGCCTCTGAGTCTGTTTGGGGTCAAAAGAAACCTCCAGACTTTCACTCTCAGTCCTTCAGAGTCTAACAGAGCTTCCAGAGGTTTTGTTGAAGAGTCAGACTGTGTTTGAGCGCCACCTGCTGCTCATTAAGCAGACAGACCAATAAAGATGAAGAATAAAGAGAACAGAGTGCTGCTGTTCCTCCATCTTCTGCTCTTTCCTTCATTGTTTTACTCTCTCTGGATGCTGCTGTGCTCCGACAGGAAATCACTGACGTTTAGTGGCTGAACGAGCAGCTTTGATTTGTTATTGAACTTTCTAATGTGTCTGTTAGCTCACATGTCTTTGACCTTTACACCTCAGCTCATGTCAGCGTTGATGTTTCCTCCCTTACTGTAACGTACAGAAGCTGATGTGCTTCCTGCAGTAGTTTGGCTTGTATCTGCTGTAAGCTGCAGTTAATAATTAGATCTGTTCTGGCTCTATTATTACTGAGGGATTCTCTGTTGTTTGA